CCCCAAAACCCCAAAACCCCAAAACCCCAAAACCCCAAAACCCCAAAACCCCAGGAATATAATCCGATATGGAATAGTCTAATAATTATTAAATATGTCTGAAGACAAAGATATTACTCCCAACAATAAAGAATTTGTTGTGCTCTCTGTTGAAGGGTAATTATCGTCTATATAGCCGCTTACTTCTTTCGATTTGCTTAATAAATCTGTGATGCATAAAGTGTCAAACTGCTTATAATGTTCCAAATAGGTACCAAAAGCTGGCAGGAATAGATACCTCCACGGGCAAAGACTTATATTGGACCACTGATATGGACACTGAGATCCCGATTAAGATGAAGTTACAGAAGAATAATGGTCATGACTTGTTGATCCCCAAGACTATTCCACAGTTATTCTTGGATAATGCCAAAAACTATACTGATTGGCCTTCCGTCCATGCTGAGACCAAGAAAGGAAAATGGACATTCTGGACCTGGGGAGAATGCTGGAATACTAGTTTCAAATTCGCTAGAGCTACTGTTGCTGCTGGAATCTCTCCAAGATCATGTGTCAACATCATTGGCTTCAATTGCCAAGAATGGTTCTGGATATTCCATGGAACAATTATGGCTGACTGTATTGCAGCAGGAGTCTACACGACAAATAATCCTGAAGCTTGCCAATATGTAGCTGAGCATAGCTCATGTGAACTGATTTGTGTTGAAGACGAGATCCAGTTGGAGAAATACCTTCAGATCTTACCAACCCTTCCTCTTGTAAAGAAAATTGTAAACTGGGGAGTAGATAGGTATGAAACAAGACCACATGAATGTGTAATGGGATGGCAAGAGTTCTTAGAGCTTGCAGATCAAGATTCTAACTCTTCAGATACAGTCAAGGAAAGAATTGAGAACCAAGTTCCTGGAAAATGCTGCAGTATCGTCTACACCAGTGGTACTACAGGAAATCCAAAAGGAGTGATGCTTACTCACGATAATTTACATTTTGCTATAGAAGAGCTTATTAGAAATTTTGCAAAGACTGGAATCGAAGACGGTAGAGAAAGGCTTGTCTCATATCTTCCACTTTCCCACTCAGCAGCCCAAGTTACTGATATCCTTAACAACTTGTTCATAAGAGCTCAGATTTATTTTGCTAGACCAGATGCTCTCCAAGGAACTCTAGTTGGTAAGTTTAATCCTTGCTGTTGAAATAATTTTTAGATACTTTGATTTATGCCAAGCCAACTATTTTCATGGGAGTCCCAAGAGTTTGGGAGAAAATGGAGGAAAGACTGAAGGAAATTGGTGCTCAATCTCCCGGAATAGTTCAAAAAATCAGTACTTGGGCTAAAGGTAAAGGAACTCTTCACTCTGATTCCAAAATGCATGGTACTCCAAAGCCATTTGGATACTCTTTGGCCCACTTTTTAATTCTCGGAAGGATCAAGAAGGCTTTGGGACTTGATGAATGCAAGTTCCATATTGTAACAGCTGCTCCTCTCAAGACTGCAACAAAGGACTATTTCAAATCGTTAGACATGCCAATGATCAATGTGTATGGAATGAGTGAATGCAGTGGTCCTGCAACTATTTCCATCCCAGGAAAATTCAAAGACAACACTGTTGGATATTCCCTCGATGAAAATGATCTTAAGATTGACAAAAGAGACAAAACTGAAGGAGGTGAAGAAGATGAAGGAGAGATCTGCTGGAGAGGAAGAAACAACTTTATTGGATACCTTAACAATGCAGAAAAGACTAGAGAGACCTTAGATGCTAATGGCTATATCCACTCTGGAGATATTGGTACTAAAGACTCTGAAGGATTTGTTAAAGTAACTGGAAGGATTAAGGAACTTATCATCACTGCAGGAGGAGAAAATGTTGCCCCAGTCCTTATTGAGGACACCTTGAAAGATATCTGCCCAATCATCAGTAATGTTATGGTCATTGGAGATGACAAAAAGTTTTTAAGTGCTCTGGTCACTTTCAAAGTTGAAGTTGACAATTCCAAGGGATTAAATACTCCAACTAAGCAACTTGCACCAAATGTATTGACCTTCTTGGCAGATGAATTAGATATCCATGATGTTAAGACTACTGATGAAGCTATCAACAACGATAAGATCAAGGCATACATCCAATCCCAGATTGAAGAGACTAACAAGAAGGCTATTTCCAGAGCTCAACACATCAGAAAGCACATGTTCTTAGCTACCGATTTTAGTATGGAAGGAGGTGAGTTAACTCCAACTTTGAAGCTCAAGAGAAGCGTTGCAGTACAGAAATACGCAGATGTTATTGCTAAAATGTATCCAGAGGAAGAACTTACCGCTAAAATATAGCCATATTGGATTTATCAAGAACTACGTCATTTGTTGGGGTTTTGGGGTTTTGGGGTTTTGGGG